AGAAGAATTATTGATGCCTTTGAGCTTTGGTGCTGTGGAAGAGTATTGAATATCCCATGGACCACCTAAAGAACAAGCAATACGTCTTGGAGAAAGTGCAACCATGGTATTCCCTGGTGACAAAGATGATAAAGCTATGTCTTAACATACTTTAGGGTCCGGTTCTTGGAAAAAAGACTTCACACTTGTGGTGGTAGATGGTCTTTGCAAGAGAGGAAGACCCTCAACAATATGGATTGACACAGTGATTGTAATAGTGGGCGTAAGTATATCAGCAATGACAGGATAGGTTAGGGTTTAGATCCCTTGTTCATCAGTTTGCTGTGAGTCATAGTCGAGTGAGTGGCACATAACAACAGTGATGTAGTTTTGCTCAGTTCTGTAGGGTCTTGATTTGTTAGACTTCAACATAGAACTTTCTCCTGCTTCCTCCTGTAGATGCTTCTCCTCCTCTTATTTTCCCCCAGTTTATTAGGTTGATTAGATATAAGAGCTAAACTAATCTGTTAATACTGGAACGTGGCATTCTGGGATTAGGGAGTATCCTGGCAGTTGTTATCTGTGCTTTTGTACATAATGGAAGCAATGTTGGAATAATCTATGCAAATCTATAATACTTTACTGAGAGATTAGAGCCGAGAGATAGCAGCTTCGTTATGTGATATAACAAGTCCACTTAGTTCACTGAGTGGGAATGAAAAATGTTTTTATTTCATTTTTTAAGGATATCTATCAGAGCAAAACATTTTTTTTTTCAATCAAATTAATTGTCAGAAGGTGCATAGCCTGCGGACGATATGGTAAAGGTTGTATTACAAGCATCATCTACATTTAATAACTTAAAAAACTTTTTTTCTTAAGTTTTGTTGCTCTCCCCCATTCTCATTGTGTTTCTTATGATCATTCTCATACATGTGTCTTGATCTGTGATCACTATATTACCCTGGCTTTTCTTGATAACTTTTTAAAATTGTGAGTTTGTTAGTGTTCCTTTCATTTTGTGAGCTGAGTAAAACAGCCAGATAAACTCATAGTCTGTTTAATAAACACTTAGAGTTAGGTTTTGTGCACGTATAGTTCTGATGGCTATTAAATGCAGCACTTCATTTGCTAAAAGAATGTTCATTCAAAGCAGAGAGAGGTTGTTTATTGGCTCATCAACTTGGAACATATTTGTATGATATATGTATATTTAAAATTGACCATTTCCCATAATAGAACAGGTTTTTCTGAAGAGGAAAAAAAAAGAGAAAGAATTCAAGGAAATGCTAAATCTGTTCATCCCTTTTCTTATTTGGTTATTACATGTCTATGGTAAGAGGACGAAACATGTTGATGTTCAAATGGAATGAGTGAATGAACCTCGCAGTTGGAGCAGCTGTCCTGCTTAAGATGCCCTGCACAATTACTGACACTCATGTCCATAAATAAGAGTTGTCTCTTTCTTCATCAAACTCTCCTTTATCTCTCAGAATTTTTAATTTAATTTTTTTTTTAATTTTATGATTGTTTGTGTGTGTACCACAAATCACATCTGACTGGTACAGGAGGAGATTTCCCCTCCTTCTCCAGCAGAGCATCTGGTGGATTCAAACTGTGTACCTCTCTGGGGGAAAAAATTATTTTGACAGCAGTTGGCCAGCTCTGTTCACGGCGCTTTATTCCCTTTCAGGTCATGCGGTACCTTGGTCAGTATATAATGATGAAGCAGCTCTATGATCAGCAGGAGCAGCACATGGTGTACTGTGATGGAGATCCTCTGGGGGATCTACTGGGACGTCAGAGCTTCTCCGTGAAAGAGCCGAGGTAAAAAGAGCGAGGGTTTGTATGGGTGATGGTACCCAGTTATTTAACTTCTTAGGTTCTTTACTTGTTTCATCAACAAATATTCCAGGGGCTTCATGTGTATAGTGAGGTTGAGAATACAGTGGTGAGCAGCGTAGACATTGTTCCTGGGTCGGTGGCTCTGACAGTGTAAGGAGACGTTACTTAGCACACTGGTGCAGAGTAAGAAGTTTTAGTCATCGCGGAAGATTCCTTGAGAAAGTGACGTAAGCTGAGAGGTCAAAGAGAAGTATTGGTTGCAGAGAGCTTCAGGCAGATTGAGTATCTTGTATAAAAGCCTGGGTAAGAGACAGCTTGATGTAACTAGGCAAAGATTTTATAGAATACTTGATGGAAAGGGAGGAAGAGTGAGTTGACAAGAGAAAGGACTGAGCAGTTTGAGGTTGGCAATCATGAACTTAATAAGAATCACAAATCTGACTTATTTGTGACTCTTCAGCTTCATGGGGGGGGGCGGTGTATAAGGTCATTAGTGTATACATGCACAAGCTTGTTGTTTTGTGCTTTGAGTCTAAACCAACTTCTAGTGAGTTTTCAGAGGCAGACGGTTGCATGGGCGGAGATTGCTTATCCTTCTCCTGCGGAGCAGCTGCTGAATTGAACCTTTGGGACTGCAGTGCAGCTTCTTACTAGGCCACGAGTGCGCCCTATAATTGACTTGTTAGTAGTGAGAAACCACTGTTACCATCCAGATTCTCTGGCTTTGTAATGACTGTTTCTTCTGACCTTATTTTATCTCCTTTTGAGAATTCCCTCTACCCTGCCCTGCACCCCAATAAAAAATGTGAAATTTAACTCTTGGAAAAGGAGAAATACTTTCCAAAAGGATTTTCCCTATTTGGATTAGCACTAGACAATGAAATAAACAGTTAGGTTTTCCCATGGGCTAAAGTATAACAAGGCCACAGGCATTACAATATTGATATTTAAAAGTCCGATAGGGTAACAGTGTCGGTCTGGAGACTAAGGTGCACCTGATCCAGGCCATGGTCTTTGCAATTACTTGCTATGCATCCAAGAGCTGGACAGTAACTAAGGATGAAACAAGAAAATTTGATGCCTTTGTGTTGTAGTGCTGGAGGAGAGTGTTGAACATACCCTGGGACTGCCAGGAGAACAAACAAGATTCGCCCTGGAGAGGGTGAAACCAGGCTTCTCCTTAGAGGAAAGGATTCTGAAGCGTCATCTGACATACTTTGGACATGTTGCAAGGAGGGACCAATCTTTAGAGATGGACATCATCAAGCTTGGAAGGGTGGAGGGATAGCACAAGAGAGGAAGACCCTGAATGAGATGGATTGACTCAGTGATTAGACAAACGGGATTAGGTCTATCAGAGACGATGATATGGCTCAGGATAGGGCAGGTTTTGGAGTTAATGTACCTAGGGCCACTGTGAGTTGTAGATGTCTTGATGACACTCAACAACAGCAACAATAGGAGAAAAAAAATTCTACCTCTCCATACCTTTGAAAGGTGGGAGATTGCGTGTCAGAAATACATTTAACATTTGATGAAAAACTATTAATATCTTCAGAGTGGAATTTGGGGTTATTAATTTTTTTTTTTATTGTCTGCTTTTAACAGCCCTCTCTATGATATGCTAAGAAAGAATCTTGTCACTTTAGCCACTTCTGCTACAGGTATGTCACATCGTATTTCCTCAGTTTGTATCACAGCCTTGAGTTCAAGGGGTCAAATGGTGGGAAAACAAGGAGGCCCAAAATGGAAATGGAATGCTTCCAGAATGTTACTACTGTGTTATTTTAACTTTCTGCTGTGAAACATTTAAAACATGGAAAATAGAGTAGTACAGTTAATGCCCACATCCTACACTTGGTAGTTATTCACATTTTGTCACATTTGCTTCATCTCTTTCTACATACTTAAAGCTTTTGTTTTAACAGGTAAGACTTTTTTCCCTTCAAAGAGAACTATGACACTATTACACCTATCAAAGTGAAGAATAGCACAAAGTTGATAATAATTTCATAACGCTATCTAGCAGCTTTTATGTATTGCTTTATCTGGTTATTTCAAAAATTATCTCTCACTTTTGACTTGTTCCAATCAGAATCCAAAGTCCACACATCGTATTTGGTTGATATGATTATTAAATATATTTATTCTACAAAATATGTATCCTTTTTCTTTTCATACTTTTTTTTAAGAAATGAGCCATTTGTCTTGAATCATTCTAGAATTTACATGTTCTATCCTTATCCTGTTCAGTGTGTTTCTTTTCCCCCTTTATTGTTGGTAAACTATGAGTGAGAGCTTAGTGATTAAAGAGACTCAGCTTTAAATGATTTTGAAAAGAAACTTCATAGATATTTCTTTGCATTTATGTTGCAAGAGTCATGTCAAGTCTGTCTTTTTTGATGTTAAGATTCTGTGGGCTAAGGTTGTGTTAACCTTGTCCATCTGCTGTAAGAGCCCTCCGAGAATCTTTTACCTCCTGGTTAAAAACCACTGTCCATTCAATTCCAACTCTTAGCAACCCTCCAGGACAGAGCAGACTTGCTCCATAAGATTTCCAAGGCTATAAATCTCTTTGGAAACAGACTGCCACATCTTTCTCCCTCTCAGTGCCTGGGCTTGAACTGCTGACTTTTCAGTTAGCAGCCAAACACTTAGCCACTGTGCCACCAGAGCTCTCTTTTAGTTTTTAGTTGTAGTGCTTTATGTTCAAGTGCCACTTGTCTCACCTTTTGCTTGGTTTCATATCTTTTAAATATTGCCCTTTGAGTTCAGTTTATTATTAGCTGTGTGCAGAAAAATGACTGCCTTGGGGTGTGAAGTCTCCAAGGTGATGTGTGCTAAAAAAGTGATAAGAATAAACTGGATATAGTTGTAATCTTATTTATCACATAATGAAACTTTTTCCTCTCCATTTCTCCTTGAAGGAAGCCCTTTTGTGGACATCAAATTAGATTTTCAGTAGCATTGTGCTTTGAATAAAGCCCAAGTTTGTAATCTCTTTAGACTTGATAGTTTACTGAAATAAATAGATTGGAAAGAATTCATCCCTAATAAAGTTTATATTTTAAAGTGAGGGAAGAAGACGTTGCTGTTTATGTTGAAACATGATTTACTGAAAATGAATTTTGAAGCTTGTTAGTTTTATTGAGCCATTTGTCCACAGCAGAATACCCACTTCAGGTAGCTGTAAATTTCTTTTTGAGAGGAAGGCCTCATAGATTTATTGAAATTGAGTAATTTGTGTCGAGAATGGTTTCCTAAGATAGTCATGAAAGGCCTACATGGAAGATTCTGTAATTAACAGTCTACTCTTGCAGTAATGTTTTCTGATTGGTCTGTTCTCTGAATAGCTAGAGTATGTATAATTCTCACAGACTTTTCTTTCTCATTTTCTTGTACTTTTCTCTGCAGGATTTTTATGTATATATATATATACACCTGATATTTAATATATACCTTATGTGTGTATATATATAATTTATCCATACATAATGCATATAATATATGCATATTATAGAGAGTATTTTTATTTTAATTGATTCTTACAGCATCGTTAGGAAGGCTTAGAAATAAATGGAAATTTTGTTTAAAAAATTTTGTTTAAAGAAAAATCTTTAATAGTTGAATGACTTGCTTAATATCACACTATTGATAAGTGGGTGAATCTCAGATTTCTGGCAAACCTTTGCTTAAATAGCATGTCCCCTAATTTGTGTTTTGTAGCACTTTTCTCAGAATATTAAATTTTTTTTAAACTTTTTTTTTTAAATTTTTTTAATTA